TGCTATATTGTACGTAGCCCCCCCCCCCTATTATCTAAGGGGCTACCCCCTATGATTATCTCCTTAAACCCCAACACTCGCCCCCACATGCCTATTTTGGTTCCATTTGCTTGATTAGTTCTCGAGTTATGCAGAAAGACAGACAGACAGACAGACAGACAGACAGACAGACAGACAGACAGACAGACAGACAGACAGACAGACAGACAGACAGACAGACAGACAGACAGACAGACAGACAGACAGACAGACAGACAGACAGACAGACAGACAGACAGACAGACAGACAGACAGACAGACAGACAGACAGACAGACAGACAGACAGACAGACAGACAGACAGACAGACAGACAGACAGACAGACAGACAGACAGACAGACAGACAGACAGACAGACAGACAGACAGACAGACAGACAGACAGACAGACAGACAGACAGACAGACAGACAGACAGACAGACAGACAGACAGACAGACAGACAGACAGACAGACAGACAGACAGACAGACAGACAGACAGACAGACAGACAGACAGACAGACAGACAGACAGACAGACAGACAGACAGACAGACAGACAGACAGACAGACAGACAGACAGACAGACAGACAGACAGACAGACAGACAGACAGACAGACAGACAGACAGACAGACAGACAGACAGACAGACAGACAGACAGACAGACAGACAGACAGACAGACAGACAGACAGACAGACAGACAGACAGACAGACAGACAGACAGACAGACAGACAGACAGACAGACAGACAGACAGACAGACAGACAGACAGACAGACAGACAGACAGACAGACAGACAGACAGACAGACAGACAGACAGACAGACAGACAGACAGACAGACAGACAGACAGACAGACAGACAGACAGACAGACAGACAGACAGACAGACAGACAGACAGACAGACAGACAGACAGACAGACAGACAGACAGACAGACAGACAGACAGACAGACAGACAGACAGACAGACAGACAGACAGACAGACAGACAGACAGACAGACAGACAGACAGACAGACAGACAGACAGACAGACAGACAGACAGACAGACAGACAGACAGACAGACAGACAGACAGACAGACAGACAGACAGACAGACAGACAGACAGACAGACAGACAGACAGACAGACAGACAGACAGACAGACAGACAGACAGACAGACAGACAGACAGACAGACAGACAGACAGACAGACAGACAGACAGACAGACAGACAGACAGACAGACAGACAGACAGACAGACAGACAGACAGACAGACAGACAGACAGACAGACAGACAGACAGACAGACAGACAGACAGACAGACAGACAGACAGACAGACAGACAGACAGACAGACAGACAGACAGACAGACAGACAGACAGACAGACAGACAGACAGACAGACAGACAGACAGACAGACAGACAGACAGACAGACAGACAGACAGACAGACAGACAGACAGACAGACAGACAGACAGACAGACAGACAGACAGACAGACAGACAGACAGACAGACAGACAGACAGACAGACAGACAGACAGACAGACAGACAGACAGACAGACAGACAGACAGACAGACAGACAGACAGACAGACAGACAGACAGACAGACAGACAGACAGACAGACAGACAGACAGACAGACAGACAGACAGACAGACAGACAGACAGACAGACAGACAGACAGACAGACAGACAGACAGACAGACAGACAGACAGACAGACAGACAGACAGACAGACAGACAGACAGACAGACAGACAGACAGACAGACAGACAGACAGACAGACAGACAGACAGACAGACAGACAGACAGACAGACAGACAGACAGACAGACAGACAGACAGACAGACAGACAGACAGACAGACAGACAGACAGACAGACAGACAGACAGACAGACAGACAGACAGACAGACAGACAGACAGACAGACAGACAGACAGACAGACAGACAGACAGACAGACAGACAGACAGACAGACAGACAGACAGACAGACAGACAGACAGACAGACAGACAGACAGACAGACAGACAGACAGACAGACAGACAGACAGACAGACAGACAGACAGACAGACAGACAGACAGACAGACAGACAGACAGACAGACAGACAGACAGACAGACAGACAGACAGACAGACAGACAGACAGACAGACAGACAGACAGACAGACAGACAGACAGACAGACAGACAGACAGACAGACAGACAGACAGACAGACAGACAGACAGACAGACAGACAGACAGACAGACAGACAGACAGACAGACAGACAGACAGACAGACAGACAGACAGACAGACAGACAGACAGACAGACAGACAGACAGACAGACAGACAGACAGACAGACAGACAGACAGACAGACAGACAGACAGACAGACAGACAGACAGACAGACAGACAGACAGACAGACAGACAGACAGACAGACAGACAGACAGACAGACAGACAGACAGACAGACAGACAGACAGACAGACAGACAGACAGACAGACAGACAGACAGACAGACAGACAGACAGACAGACAGACAGACAGACAGACAGACAGACAGACAGACAGACAGACAGACAGACAGACAGACAGACAGACAGACAGACAGACAGACAGACAGACAGACAGACAGACAGACAGACAGACAGACAGACAGACAGACAGACAGACAGACAGACAGACAGACAGACAGACAGACAGACAGACAGACAGACAGACAGACAGACAGACAGACAGACAGACAGACAGACAGACAGACAGACAGACAGACAGACAGACAGACAGACAGACAGACAGACAGACAGACAGACAGACAGACAGACAGACAGACAGACAGACAGACAGACAGACAGACAGACAGACAGACAGACAGACAGACAGACAGACAGACAGACAGACAGACAGACAGACAGACAGACAGACAGACAGACAGACAGACAGACAGACAGACAGACAGACAGACAGACAGACAGACAGACAGACAGACAGACAGACAGACAGACAGACAGACAGACAGACAGACAGACAGACAGACAGACAGACAGACAGACAGACAGACAGACAGACAGACAGACAGACAGACAGACAGACAGACAGACAGACAGACAGACAGACAGACAGACAGACAGACAGACAGACAGACAGACAGACAGACAGACAGACAGACAGACAGACAGACAGACAGACAGACAGACAGACAGACAGACAGACAGACAGACAGACAGACAGACAGACAGACAGACAGACAGACAGACAGACAGACAGACAGACAGACAGACAGACAGACAGACAGACAGACAGACAGACAGACAGACAGACAGACAGACAGACAGACAGACAGACAGACAGACAGACAGACAGACAGACAGACAGACAGACAGACAGACAGACAGACAGACAGACAGACAGACAGACAGACAGACAGACAGACAGACAGACAGACAGACAGACAGACAGACAGACAGACAGACAGACAGACAGACAGACAGACAGACAGACAGACAGACAGACAGACAGACAGACAGACAGACAGACAGACAGACAGACAGACAGACAGACAGACAGACAGACAGACAGACAGACAGACAGACAGACAGACAGACAGACAGACAGACAGACAGACAGACAGACAGACAGACAGACAGACAGACAGACAGACAGACAGACAGACAGACAGACAGACAGACAGACAGACAGACAGACAGACAGACAGACAGACAGACAGACAGACAGACAGACAGACAGACAGACAGACAGACAGACAGACAGACAGACAGACAGACAGACAGACAGACAGACAGACAGACAGACAGACAGACAGACAGACAGACAGACAGACAGACAGACAGACAGACAGACAGACAGACAGACAGACAGACAGACAGACAGACATAAATTCATTTTTATATATATATAGAACATTATAATACTATCATTAGTAAAGCAAACAGAATGCTAGGCTTCATTAAAAGGTTCAGTCATAATTTCGAAGACCCCTACACTATTAAGCTATTATATACCACATATGTAAGGCCAATTCTGGAATACTACCACCTAGTATGGAATCCATACATTTCCATACACGAAGAACGCATAGAATCTGTCCAAAAACAATTCCTTTTATATGCTTTAATTGGACTGCATTTCCATTACCATCTTATGAAGCGCGCTGCATGCTCATCAATATACCAACACTTAAGGAGCGCCGCCGATTTGCAATGCTGTTCTTTATCAACGACATTATTTCAATGCGCATAGATTCGGCAGAAATTCTCGCACAATTAAACTTATACACACCTTGTCGATATCTTAGAACCCGGAATTTATTTTCTGAAAAATCGTACAGAACAAACTATGCAAAAAATAGCCCAATCAATGGAATGATGCGCCTGTATAATTTGCATTGCGAAACTATTGACATCACTATGTCCAAGCAGTATAATAACTTTTGACTCAAAAACCAGTATTTTTTAGTATGAAAGCTAGCGATCTGCTTTGTATGATTAAAACCCTTCTTAATATGTTAAACATTGCTGTCAGTATGAGATTATATGTGCTTAATTGGAAATAGGAATAACTTTTCGGTCATCAAAACAAAACTTTATTTTTCTGGGATCAGTGCTAATGTTACTTTCGACATAATGAAAACACACAATTTCTTTAAAACATCTCCAGCTGGATCACCGTTCCCGAAAAAAAAACTCATCATTCTCCAATCATCACTTACGGCTGTGTGTGTGTGTGTCTGGCTCACCATCTCATCGCCATTCATATTTTCACCGACTTGTTGGTAGTGGTCCGAGTAAAATTCCTTCCGTTCTCATTCGCTCTATATCTCTCTGTCTCTCCCACACACCCATTGCTGGTGTGTCTCCTTTTCTCTTTATTTTGACGGCGATTTTGTGCAACTGCTCGTCGTTGTCTCGTCGCTCATCGTGCGTCGCTCGGAAAGTAAACCAACAATCATCATCATCATCATCATCAACCATTTCGGCGGAGCAGAGCGGTCCACCGTCGTCGGTCAGTCAGTCAGTTGTCTTATTTTTCTCGCCGTGATCGCAAGCAAGTCGGTAACGTACGAACGGTGAAATAAAAAGCAGTGAGCGTCGTCGTTTTGGAGGAAAATAATAAAAAAAAAACAGTGTCCCATTTAGCCGCAGGATAACTACTGTTTGTTTTGGAAGTCGACGAGTGTAATCCGCTGGAAGGGAACTTCAAGCTGAATTTGTGAATTTTGTAGCGTTGTTTTGACTTTGGAGAAAAGGTTTGTTTACTGCGTCCATTTTTGATTTTCTCTTCTTCCCAGTTTCCTTTCGGACGGTTTGTCTGTCTGCTGCGTCCGCCGTGGTGTTGTGTCTGCTGTTGAAAATCTTGTTGCAGGCATCGTGTGGTTGTTTTGTTCGGTGGACTCTCCGCGTGTAAAACGAATAGAAAGAAAAAAAAAAACAAATGATAATAATATTGCCTACAACAATCGCGTGTGAACGTATTCACTTTAATGGTGTGCCTATGCTATAGTGGAAAATAACCAAAATAACATTTTCAGCGACAGCCACCGCCGCAACCTTCGACGGACGGTGCGCAAGCCGGTTGAAGTTGGGCTGGGGCGGGGCAGGAGCTCAGTCACCGAGCGGAGAAAGAAGAAAGATCGAGAGGGAGGAAACGAACGAGGCAGAATAAAGTGAAAGGAAGAAGGCAAACGTGGAGAAGATAAACACAAACACACTGAGTGGAGCACGCCGCGCACAACGGAAACTTTGAAGACGTCCGGAGTGGACTTTTTGGGGGGAAATTTCGAATTCTAGAGCCTGTAACTTTCCGGTGAAACTTGATGTAATTTTCTGTTTCAAAGCATGAATGTTATGTTTATGTTTTACGCATGGGAGTTGTTTTTAGCTTATTGACGGGCCCCTCGGTCTTCATACAGAACTAGCCATGTGTTTGTTATATGAAAAAAGTTTTATTTTCAGTGTTCAATTTGTGTGCGAGAAATTTCAACTTTTGTAAGAAGAAAATATGAGACGTGAGTGCAATACTGGTGAACTAACAGCAAATCAAAACCAAAAATTGCGACTTCAAAAATACTTAGCCATCTATGAGAAAAACAGCTACTAATAAACTGACTTTAAATCGGATTAAAGTGATATGCCTAAAGGTAAGTAAATTTTCGGAGTGTTAAGCTAATAATTTAGGAATATTGATGATAATCGTATGTCAGCCTCAGTTATTATCCGCATGTACTATAGTAGTAAAAATGCTCTTTTTTTTATCAATGGCGACGAGTAGTGTTCATCAAGAGTTGTTTTTTTTTTAATGCGAAGAGCGGCAAGCCACGCACGAAAATAGGCTTTAGCTTTTACTATACGAATTACGTATACGAATGCAAAGACGACGATGAAAATAAGAGGAAGATGGTGTTGATGATGATGAGTGCATGCTTGAGAGGAGAGAGAAATCTGGAGAGTGAGGCACAACAGATGAGGGTGGTGAGAATTTTTTACGGCTTTTCACTCTGTTTTGACGAATGGCTGTGGTGCCAGTTGTGCGTATTTTTTTTATGGTTCAGAAGTTTTGCTTGTTATGTCACAGAAGGTTGCAATTTTTTGATATTATGTCACGGGATTTCTTCTTTGTCAGAATGATTATCACTGAAGAAACAGTCTTTTAAAACAAAGTAATTTTCCTCGATTTCGTCACCATCAATCTTAACTCGGAGTTGGAGGCTAACATTGTCTTCCCTAGGACCTCTTCTTCTCATGTATTTCGTCTTCGATGCCTTGATGGCAAGTCCAATCCGCTTAGCTTCAGCCTTCAGTCTAATGTACGTTTCCGCCATCGTTTCAAAGTTCCGTGCCATGATGTCGATGTCATCGGCGGAGCCAAGAAGCTGGATGGACTTCCGGAAGATCGTGCCACTCGTGTCTATCCCAGCTCTTCTGATCACACCTTCTAACGCGATGTTGAATAGCAGGCACGAAAGTCCATCACCTTGCCGTAACCCCCTTCGAAATTCAAAGGGACTCGAGAGTGTCCCCGATACTCGAACAACGGACATCACTCGATCCAATCGTGTCAGTTTATCCGGAAATCCGTACTCGTGCATAATCTGCGATTGCGTCGTATGCGGATTTGAAATCGATGAACAAGTGATGTGTGGGCACGTTGTATTCGCGACATTTCTACAGAAGCTGCCAAATCGCGAAAATGCGGGTCCTTGGTAACGCATAAATCCCACCTGGTATTGCCCCACGAACTCTCTTGCAGATGGTGACAGGTGGTGGCATAGAATTTGGGAGAGTACCTTGTAGGCGGCGCTCAGCAGTGTGATCGCGCGGTAGTTGCAGCAATCCAACTTGTCGCCCTTTTTTGTAGATTGGACATACGACACCTTCCATCCACTCCTCCGGTAATATCGCCTTCTCCCAAATCTTGGCAATTACCCAATGCAGCGCTCTAGCCAGTGCTTCACCACCATATTTTAATAGCTCACTTGGTAGTTGATCTACACCTGTTGCTTTGTTGTTCTTCAGCCGACCGATCTCCTCCTCAACTTCTTGGAGATCAGGTTCTGTTGCCGTGCCACCTTCGTTTTCTGCATATAGTTCCATGATGTGCTGACAAAAAAAATTGAGAACCCTTAAAACGTTCCGAGAATTTCAGAAAAATACAAAGGTCAGAGAATTTATGAAAACTTCGGAAATATTTCAGGAACTTCACAGAAGTCCAGAGAATTCCAGGGAAGTTTAAAGGTGTTTACGAGAATTCCATTTATTTCAGAACAGAACCGAGATCTTCAATAGATTTGACAGATCAAGACAGATCAGATAATCAAAGGGCAGTTCAAATAATGTCAAGGAAATTGCAGAAACCTCATGGAAATTTCGAAAAACTCATGGAATTTCCATATCATGACCAAAGCTCCGAGAGAATTTCTGGAACGCAATAAAAATTAACGTGTGTAGATCACCTTTTCGTCGTACGTTACGGGATGTAAGATCTACCACTGATTCCTAGTTCTGACTACTTCAAACTAGGGGAACAGGACTTTCAGTAATCCAAGGAACGCATCTTAGTCCTTGTTACTTTTTATGCCTTGTTGATAGTGACAAGACTCGGGTTTGTCTACCGAGGATGATCTTGAAACAAGGGAAAAAAATGAGTTAGTTGTCTTCATCTATGTGATTCCTAATCTTCTATTCGTTGTTCCCTAGTTTGAAATGGTTAAGACTATGGTTCTGATGCATGGTCAATGGTCATTATCGGTGTCATACCTTAATTTTGTTGCTAAGGAATCCAATTTTGACTGACAAAGGGGCGCGCCTTTAGAGGGTGTTTCAACACTCCGAAGGGTATAAATAGCGGGACCTTTCAAATAGAGTCGGATCCTTGCGATAAATGCAAGAGTAGCAACTGTAAAAAAAATCGAATACTTCATCATTTTTCAATAGTGATGGAGTAATACGACATGCACTAAACTAAGGACACGGGATATACTACAATAGATCAAATTACTGGTCGCAGTAGTGTTAGGTCCCGAACAGAGAAAAAAATGGTGTTATAGCATTTCAAGAACTTGAAAAATCTGTGAAAATTTGTTAAGTTCATTAGGGAACATGAACAAGTTCCATTAAATAAACATGAAAATGCGAGAATTTGTAGCAAGCACCGGTATCTTCATGAAATTCCAGATATCTTCTAAAAAAATAAAATATTTGTTGATAGTTTTATGATATGAAGAGAAGTTCCGAGTACTTCGAGGACTATCAGATAACTTCAGAACAATCCCTTTAACTTAAGAAAATTTGTAGTGACTTACAAGGAGTTCCGTGGAATTATGGGATATTCCAGGATTTCTAAGACTGAGCCGAGAACTTCAGAAGCGTCAGGGAAAAATTTCCGTAACATTAAACAAATTTAGATAACTTCAGGGATGTCCAGATAAGCTCAGAAGAAGTTGAGCTCAGAAGGAAAGTTGTAGAAACTTCAAGGCAATTAGATTAATTTCAGTAAACTTGCGGGTTCTTATTCAAAATACTGAAAAATTCAGAGTCGTTTAGAGAACATTCTGGAAATTCAGGAATCTTTTAGGCAGTTTTAACAACGCCAGAAAGTCTAGAGTTATGAATTAGTGTCGATAATTTAAGGTCAGTTCCATGAACTTTGGTGAAAATCATAGAACTATATTAATTATTTTGTTTGGATTCCTTGAAAATTGCGGGAGCTTTAAGAAGTTCCAGAAATTTCAGAAAAAACTTAGAAAACTTCACAGAAGTGCAGAGATCTTCAAAAATATTTCTATAACTTCATAGAAGTCTATGGAACTTAAGGAAAGAGCCGAGACTTCAGGAATTTTCATGAACATTAGCAACATGAGGGAGCATTTCAAAAAAGTTTAGTAAGCTCCAAAAATAGTAAGAGAGAATTTCAGGAGGAGTTCAGTTTCAGAAAATAGGTGGGGAAATGTTCAGAAGTTGCCAGATTTTAAGAGAGCTTCAGAGATGTTAAGAAAATTATTGAGGTCTTCACATAAGTTCAGAAGTTCACGGAAGCTTACTCATTTTTAGGACAGTTCAATTAAATTCAAGGCAGTACAACAAGCTTCATGAGAACTGCAAAAGTTTCGAGAACTTCAGGAAAGAACAGATATCCTCAGAGCAGTTCCATTAACATTAAGGAAATTACATACCTTTTAAAGAAGTTTCGAGAACTTCAGTGAATTGTTCAAACTTTAGAGGAGATCCACGATCGTTAGGAAAATTGAGGAAAATTTAGGAAGTCCGAAAAAGTTCAGGGAAGTTTAAATATGTGATGAGAAATATTGTGAGCATCAGGCTAGTTTCTCAAACTACAAAAGAACTTCAAGGCAGTTTCATTAAGTTCAGAAAAAAACTGGGATCTTTCAAGTAGTTCTGAACACCTCAGAATAGTCCATTCCATATTCAACGGTGATTTCTCATGAAAATTCACTTGGAGTTCTCCTCAGCTTCGATTCTTATTCTCAAAAAACTCCCATGGAATTATTCAGGAAATTTACTCGCGCATCTCTAAATTCCCCAAAAAATATCATCAGAATATACTTCGAATACTTCTAGCAATTCCATTGAAATATCCCTCAAAATTTTGTTGTTCCTCCGAATTACCTTGAAATTCTTTAACAAATTCCGAATTAACAAATCCTTTAGAAAGATTCTCAGAATTTTCATTGAATTCAGCTCAGATTTCCTTTGAATATCATTCCTTCACTCTACTCACATTGAAAGTCTCCTAAGAATTCATTTACATTTCTCCTCGAATTTGATTGGCAATCTCTCCTGGAATTTCTTTGAAGATTTCCTATCGCGTATAATCTTCCCTCGTTTAGTTTTGAGCTACAGTTGACATGAACAACGAAATCGTTTACAAGTGTGCATACAATATTGTTAATTGCAGCGTTATTGCCCCTAAATTGACACGAAATATCGTGTAAATTTACGCCAAATATTGCGTTAATTGTATGCGCTACAATATCTCGCACAAATTTATATTTATTTTTCAAATGGTGTATAAGTATTCTCGAATAATACCCAAGAATATGTGCTCCGGATTCGGTTTCTCCCATAAACTTAATGAAATCAGCCCTTGGAATTTTTCTCTGAAGTTCACAGGAGTTCTGCTCTTCTGAAATTTACTTTGAAGTGGGTTTTCTTAAAATTCTACTCAATACTATCTCAGGTTTCCCATTAAATCTAAAACTCGTCACAACTAGTGTGCCAGGAGTTTGACTCCAGATTCTTGAAAATTTCTTGAAGTATTAAAACTTTTAAGTCCAGAATTTCAAATTTGTGGGAATTATGGATTTTCAGAACAAAAAAAAAAAAACATTTCAACCCTCTGAATTTTTAAACTTTATGTGTTACAGAATAATAATACACTCTGGATCCATAAAGTTCAATGTGTGAATGAAAATAACGAGGAAATTTGATTGTTCCTTTTTTAAATGCATTATTTTCTTCAAACTATTCTTTGTAAGGAAATTATTCAATTTCCTGAGTAATGGTGAAACTCCCTGAGACTTCCAGGTATTTTCTTAAAAATAAAACATCAAGACGGATTTCCAGATTTTTACAGGTAGTCGACACTATGGCTAATACCGTGGGTTTGGTCATGAACTAAGTG